GGGAGGCTGAGGCAGGAGGATCGCTTGAGCCCAGGAGTTTGAGGTTGCTGTGAGCTAGGATGACGCCATGGCACTTTAGCCCGGGCAACAGAGTGAGACTCTGTCTCAAAAAAAAAAAGAAAAAAAAAAATGGAAAGACAGAGGAACTTAAAAAAAAAAATAATGGAGTCCTAAAAGAAAGGGAAAAAAGAAATGGAAGGATATGTAATAACTCAGGTGAAAAAAGTAAGAAGGGCTCTCAAGGGACTATGAGTCAGTACATCTTAGAAAAACAGCAACTGAACCTGGGCTGGGAAAATTCTTGGTACTGGGGCCAAGGTCCTGCTGGGTGGTGTGTCCAGAAGAAACTGAGACAGCTCTCTGCCTTCAACAATTCCATTGTAGGCTGTCCCCTGGCTGTGTGGATGCTGGGGCAGAGCCAGGCCAGAGTCGAATGATCAGCCAGGAAGAGTTTGCCAGGCAGCTACAGCTCTCCGATCCTCAGACGGCGGCTGGTGCCTTTAGCTACTTCCAGCAGGTAAAGGAGCTGGAACACAGAGGGCAGAACCCAGGCTTGCCCTCCAGGCTGACATGCTCAGGATTTAAGGACCGTATCCTAGCAGCCACATCAGTCACATTGGATGCCCAGTTTGGAGTCTGCACTGGGTGTTCTAACAGCTATTGTTAGACGGCCATCTGAGATCCACTGGAAGATTCATTTTTTTTGTCAAGTTTCCAATGCCTTGAAGGGCAAAGTTTTAATCATTGTGAGAAAGAACAAGTGAGAAATAATTGATCAGTAAGGTCTATACATTTCTGAAGCCACTTCAGAGATTGGCAGAGATGGGGAATCATAAGACCTTGTGGGGCACTGGGGGAGGGTCTCTGAAAAAGAGTCCTGAAGGTTAGATCGGAAAATGACATATAGAAGAAACAACACTAGACAGGTTAGACAGTTCAGAGTTTGAGACCCAGTAGTATTTATAATACTTGGGCAGATTATTTTAAATATTCTGTAGCTTCTATAGAGAATTCCTGAACTTTTTCAAGAATCTTAGCAAACCGTGTATTTCTTGGGATTTAACCCAAGTTTCCCCGTCAAATTATAATAATCCTCTTGTGTTTATAACATAAGATTTTTGTGTTTATAAACAACCAGCAGTGGTCCCAAGGGGCATTTTTTTGATCCAAGTTCCAGACTGTGGCTCTCAACATCCTCTGAAGGGACAGACCATGTGCATAGGTTCCTTAGATTGAGGCAGACTGTCCCTGAAAAGACCCTGTGGCAGAGTAGAAACAAAAACTCAGATGCTGTGGTCTCCCATAGACAGGCACAGCCGGCATCCTCCTTGGGTTTTTTTGTAAGAAATTATGCCAGCATCCCCCTTTCAATCTGTTGGACTAGTTCTGCCACCTAGGCTGAGTCAGAGGAGAGAACCAGTTTGTCCAGCTTGGGAGCCAGGAATGCCCTCCAGTGGCACATCAGAAACTTGATAGTAACTTCAGCATTCCTGAGGGATTCCCAGATATTCCTAGGGGATCCCTTTATGGGAAGGCTTTGTTGCCAGGTGACTTGGTATAGTTTGAGAAAGCCTATGACCAGAAAGGAATTCCAGGGCTCCTAGAGAGTTTGGGGCTCACAGTTCTGAGAGAAGCAGTCTCAGGTATTGTCCTCATGCCTGCTGAGAAGAGGGAAGAGCCCAAATCCATAGAGCAGGAGAGAGGATGCAGGGTCCCCACATTGCCCTGGTTTCTTTTTCACTCTGCAGGATGCCAAGGGTTTGGTGGACTTCCGAGATGTAGCCCTTGCACTAGCAGCTCTGGATGGGGGCAGGAGCCTGGAGGAGCTGACTCGCCTGGCCTTTGAGGTACCTGGGAAGTGGGGGCAATCTGGTGACTGTGTTCATCCCACACCAGGAAGTTTATGTGGTGTGCCGTTTGCACACACCCCTTCTAGCCCCTTGCCAACTGCCTAAAAGTGCAGAGCCCCAGTGTCTCTGGAGGCCTAGCTGGGAACAGGAAGAGGGCAGAAGCTGTAAAGTCTACAGTTCTTCTGCAGAAAGGGCTCTGAGGGTCAGGGAAGGCCTGTGCACCACACTTTTGGAAGAGGAGGAGCCTGTCAGGCCAACCTGCAGGGCAGTGTGAGGCCCCATGGCATGAGAAGAGAACTTGACTTTCATCCCTTTCTCTCCCAAGCTCTTTGCTAAAGAGCACACAGAGGGACCCGGCCGCCTACTGTACAAAGACGGCTTCAGCACCATCCTGCACCTGCTGCTGGGTTCACCCCGCCCTGCTGCCACAACTTTGCATGCTGACCTGTGCCAGGCAGGACCCAGCCAAGGCCTCTCCCTCTGTGAGTCACTGTCTTCTCAGCCCCGCGTGGGCACTCAGGGCACCACCAGCACTTGGGACTTGGAGAAGAAAGCACTAGGCTGGGAGGAACAGGCTGGACAGGAAGAGAGGATGTAAACCTGGACTTGAGAAGTTAAAAGAGATTAGAGGGACAGGATGGATCAGTTCTGAGAAAAGAGCAGGGGCATCCTCTTCCCCTCATTCTCAGGTCTTTTCACTTTTCCCTGTCTTACTCTTCTTTGTCCAGGTGAGTTCCAGAACTTCTCCCTCCATGACCCACTCTATGGGAAGCTCTTCAGCACCTACCTGCGCCCCCCACACACCCCTCGAGGCACCTCCCAGACACCAAATGCCTCGTCCCGAGGCAGCCCCACTGCTCTGGCCAATGGGACTGGGCAAGTGCCCAAGCAGAAGGGCGACTGAGCGCCTCAGCCCCATCTCTGCTCCTGTTTGACTTTTGTTATCGTTCTGTTTTTTTTAAGTTGCTTTTAATTTTTCGTTTGGTTGTGTTTTTTGTAAGAAACTATTTTATATATAAATATAAATCTATATCTATATCTATTAAAAAAATGAAGCTCCGTCATATTGATGGTATTATTAGTTGGTAAGCAAAGGGGTCAATGGTTGCAGGATGCCCATTGGGAGATCCCGAAGTGTCCTTCAGGGGCAGCCCTGAAGGGCTGGGTCAGTCCTCTTGGCCATAGCCGGAAGAATCCTCACCCCGATGGACAGGGCTCTTTCCTGCACAGAAATCACACAAAGATTTCACGCCTTCCCTGCCCCCCCATCATCTGTATATGCACTTGCCGCAGACTTCTTCACAAACCTCCTTTAAGCCCATTCCCTCTTGTTCTGTCCTCATTCAAGATTAAAAAATAGCTTACTACCATTCCATATTTAATAATTCTATGGAGACTTCATTCTGTCACCTGTAGTGGAAGCAGAGTATTGTCAAGAAGGAACCATCAGAACAACCACATAGGGGGCGCTTTTCTGCCATGGGATGAGCTGAGGACCCTGAAGTCCTTTCTGTCTAGCCTCTTTTCAAGGAAGAAAACAAGGCCCCCTAGAAGTGCTGTGTCTAGATGCAATTATGGAAAATTAATTAGATTTAGAAAATTGATCCCAATCTCAGCTCTGACAGGTAAAAGAGCCTCTTTCCATCTATACACATAAAGGGAGGCAGATAATTACAGGATGTCCAGACAAGCCCTCCTAACACCAAGTCCAGGCTTGTGAAGAGGGATGAATAAAGTGATCATTGGAGACTTCTCAGTCTCCCATTTGGGACTTACTGCCTGAGAGCCAGTCTGTTGCCAACAAGAGGCTGCAGGGACCCAAGATAAGGCTAGAGGCAAGGTAACGTATCTGGATTCGCAAACCTCTTCCTCCCTTCTTTACAGTCTCTTACCTCATCCTGTGGCAAAGACGCCAGTACAAAAGAAGGGCACATTGAGAGCATTGTCCAACAAAAATCTTTATTTTTTTTTCCATACAACTCCTTCCCAAGGTACTTCCCACTAAGGGAACCACCCACATCCTAGCCAGTCTGACCTCCTTTCTCCACACTCATCACCTTTGCAGAAAACAAAACAATATTGGGCTGAGGCTGAATCTCCATTGGTGAGCACCAGGGGTGAAATCTGCTCTGGGGCACCCACCTTTGGGGACTGGCAAGGTGATCCTGCTGCTCTCTACTGGCTACGACGTCGCTTCTTCCTTCTGCCTGTGACAAAACTGTCACGCCGTCTTTTACGGGGCTGTGAGGGTCGAACCACTCCCACAGCCAGGGGTTTCTCCCCAGGGACCCCAAGTTGAGCTCCTGAGTGGGGTCTCTTTTCGGCGGGGGCTGGACCTCCAACTAGAGCTCGCTGCCTAGACTTGGCAACAGGATACGGAGGTTGGCTGAGGCCTCTTGCCTCAGCACAGAGGAGGTGGGATGCTTTCTGGATGCCCTGACCTCCTGAGGCATGGCAGGGACTAAGAGGAAGCCCCTTTGATGACAGGCTAAGTTTAGATGCCAAGAGGTAGGCAAAGTTAGAGAGTTCCTCATCCTCCTCCTCTTCTTTCTCCCTCTCCTTCTTCTTCCCCTTCTCCCTCTTCCCCTTCTCCTTCCCCTTCTCCTTCCCCTTATCCTTCTTCTTATCCTTCTCCTTTTTCTTCTCCTTCTCCTTTTCTTTGGCCCCATCTGCTGAGCTGCATGTTTCACTAACAGAAGGGTTTTCTCTCAGAACTAAGGCATCCCTAGTTCCCCATGTAGGGGAAGTGCTTCCAAGGTCCTGGTGAGATGTTGATTTGGGGGTTCCGAGTGCATAAGACTCTTGACTCTCTTGTAAAGGAGCATGGTCTTTAGGCTTGGAAAGATCAGTATCTTCCCTGCCCTCTCCTTTCAGGTCATAAGAATTAAAATTTGGTGGGCAAGTATCCTCACTGACCCCTACTTGGAGGCCACAATCATCTCTAACATCTAGTGTGTTGCTGTCTTCTGTGGTTGCCAACAGAGGAGCAAAGGAGGTGCCTCTGCTTCCTGCCTCGTGGCTGGCCTCAGGGAAGGAGGAGGCATGCTGGGCCCCCAAGATAAGGAGACTGCCTTGGCATATGGGCAGGAGGGTTTCTTTGGAAGACCCCAGTGTGGAGGCATCAATTCTGCTTTCCAGCAATGGGGAGCAACCTTCAGCCCACAGATCACTGGGATCCCGTAAGGTCTGAGGGCTCTGTTCTCTATTTTTTTTGGGCCTCAAGGCCGGGCTATTCCCCTGCACAGGTCCAGGCAAGCTGTAGTAGTTTCTCTTTTCTAGGGCAGCTGTGGCATCTGTGCTTCCACAGGGACTCACACTGCTCCCCACATTCCCAGGGACTGTGGTTTCTCCAGGACCCAGAGAAATCTTACTTCTGGAACCCAGTGCCTGGCAGCCTCCCTGGGGCTCAGTTACACATTCCCCATCTTGGAAGCTCTCTATGACCTCTTCGATTTGTATGGGCAGTTCTAAGCCTACAACATCCATCTCATTGCTCAGCCAAAGTCCTGGGCGGAAAGAGGGCCCATCCCTGTCCCCAGCTGCTCTAGGGGAAAGGTTCTGATCATAACTTGGAGCCATGGGAAGACTTCTGTTATCTCCCCACATTGCTCCTGAACAGCCTTCCTGGGGCACCGCTAAAGGCTCCTTCCCTTGAGGAAGCACTCCAAGACCCCCCATCTGTTGTCCTGCCTGCAGCCCCAGGACCTGCTTTTCTAACCCTTGTCCTTGCAGAGGAGCTGGCTCTGCAAGACCAACGTCTAAACTGGGAGCTCTCTCAGACTGGAGGCCTTTCTGCCAGCAAAGGGGCAGAGCATCTGAAGTTCTGTCAGCCTCCAGGCAGTGCCCAGGGGACCCAGCACCCCCCAGGTGGCCATCCTGATAGGGAGATACCTGGTTTATAAACTTCCCAGACCCTCCTGTCTCAATACCCAAGGGTCCCAGAGTTCCCTGTGGAGCTGCAAGTTCTAGCTGCAGGTCCCAGCTCCTCGTGGGTGGCAGAGTGTTCCCATCCCTGCGCATCCCCCTCGGGCCATCCAGGGCTCGCTCCCGCCCACCATGCACTTCTCTTGCCCGCTTTCCTAGAGAAGCAGCCTTTCTAAGGCGAACAGTACCCCCAGTTCCCCGAGGCCCAGGTGAAGGCCGAAGCTGCCCACTCCCATCTTCATCCTCATCAGAAGCAGAAGGACTTGAGTCCGATTGAGCTCCACTGCAACTTGGAGGCGCCTCCACATCCTCCTCCTCTTCTAAGGCCAGGAGTCGCTTCCGGACCAGCTGGAAGAGAATGGACAAATACCAGTTCTATACATGGCTGTGAGAAGAGGTGGCTGAGTGGGTAGTACGAGAATGGTATTTGGGCAGGGCAGGGAAGGCAAGCAAGAGGTTTAAATGACAGTATCAAAGACATACTGTAGCTCTTTCCGCCTTCTTGTGCCTTATTCCCATGCTTTGAGCCTTTACACTCTCATTTCCTGTGTTTCCATAGTCCCTTTCCTACTTGTTCTGCAACTGAAGCCTGATCCTAAAGCTGTTCATCTCTACGGCCACATCATCCATGACAGTGTAGGTTTAGATAAAATCACGTGAGCTTCTTGTTTTGATATTCCCTACATTCCAGATTTACCTGGGCAAGAGTAAGTCCTTCTTCTTGTTCCAGCTCCTCAGTTAAGGCCAAGGGATCCTTCTGCTGTTCTGGGGACAGCAGATCTGCCAAAAATTGAGGGTGAATGATGGCCTCCACCTGGGGAACAGAAGGAAGAGTGATACGAGTCCTTGACAGGAGGTAACCTGTGAAACAAGGGGCTGCAGAGAAGAAGCCATGAGCCCCCTAACTCCTCACTCTCACCCCCGAGTTATAAACCATGAACACCACCAACTATACACATTCATATGTATATGTGCCTGCACACACTTTTCTCAGTTACAGAGTAGAACCCAGTTCCTACTGCCTTGAACAAAACCCAAAATTGTTGGTTCCCTGGGGAGCCCACCCCCAGGATCTGCTAAGAAACCAGACATGAAGGCCCAGCCCACCTTGGAGACAAAGACCTCCTGAGAACACAGCTCATCGATGTAGCTTAGGAGACCTGGATCTGGATACATCTCTTCCTCCTCCTGCTGCTGCTCTACCTCTTCCTGATTTTCATCTGATTCCCCAGTGGCCGAGTGACTCCCCACCAGCCCTTCCATGATGTCGGCATACTCCTTCACAACTTCTGGTGGGATCTCCTTGGGTGCCTCAGGAACTGGAGGCCTCTGGGGTTTGCGCTGACGCCGGCGGGGGGCCCGTGCCTTGGAGGCTGCCTTCTTTGGAATGTACACTAAGGGAAGAGATGGAATGGAGCTTGGGAAGTGGCACCAACGCTATGGCTTCTACCTCACAACTCTGTAAAGGCAGCAATCTGGGTACACTGAAATAGTTGCAGGCTGGATCAAACCAACCTGGAAGAGTACCAGCCATTTGGAGATTTAGGGGAGGGTCTAAGAGAAAATCACTGTATGAGGAATCCTGGAACCCCTGAAATTCCAAGAAACCCCCTGATCTGGCCCCCATTTCTTAGGCCTCATTTACAGTCTTGGTGAGAGTAGGTAGTTTACTTGTCCAAGATCAATACCTACTTCAGGGCAAAGGGGACCTGAGAACCCAGGCTCCTACGGGGTGGTCTGTTTGGAACACCACATGCCACTCTGGAAGGAAGGTGGCAGAACCAAGGGCAATGCCTTGCCTAATCTGTGCATCTTCCTTTGAGCCTTTGGCCCACAGCTCCTACTGGAAGTGGATCGCCTTACCTGGCTGCTGGCAAACCTCGGGGGCCAGGGGCCCTGGAGGATCAAGCTTCAAAGGGGCTGCAGGAGACAGACCCTCAGGCCCATTCATCAGCTGTACTTTCTGAATCTGCATCTCCTCCTCAGCCTCAAACTCCATGAACCTGCAGAGGGTGAGGAAGGCACAGGCAGTGCTGAGCAGGCCAGGCCCATCAGGAACCCAGGCTGCAGCCAAGCATGGCTAAGAAAGGGAGTGCCCTCATTTGGGCAAAATCTGCCCAAGTCATGTCACCCAGGACGGAGCTGCTCACAGGTAGCCTATTAACAGTTTTGGGGGAACCTTGAGAGCTCACCACATAGTCCCTTCAACTATGGTCATCACTTGGGAAGACTGTTAAGAAAATGAATGATCTAGAGCTTGTAAACTTCAGACAGCCCTGGCTTTCACCTCTTTTCCATACCTATCTCATCCAGCCTCAGGGATTGTATACAGCAGCACTTAACACAGGTTTGTTGAATTCAATCAGGCCTGAGCAGCAGCTCGGTGGGACCTCACCAGTGGGCCCCTGGAGGCCTCCTCTGTCCCTGCCTACAAACATAAAGTGGCTGGATTCCTGAAGCAGGGCCCAGGGCTGCAATTCAGAGCAGTTCCCACCAGCAGGCAGTGCTGAGACACCCAGCAGTCCCGAGGCCAGGCCTGGGCCTTGGAAAGGTAAATCTAGGAGGCATGGGTCCAGAGGATTTGCAGGGAGAAAGTAGAAGCGAAACTTGGGGGAGAGGGTTCTTTTTCGTCAGAGTTTTGTTTTTAACAAAGAATACTATCATGGAGAAACTGTTTAAGAGCCAGGAGACCACCCTGGGCATCTAGGACCTTGGCTTCCCCTGGCTCTTTCAGAACCAGCCCCTCCCTAGTATGAAAGGGGAACGGATTTTCTTTGCCACTGTTTCCAAAGGAGGGGTGGCCCTGAAGTTCTGCATCAGTAGCCACTTGCTACCTGGTCAGTGAGAAAAGAACCTGACTAGTAGAGCTTACCTCCTCATTGCTATGTCCCTTCAGCTTGGAATTTCTACACCTGTTGGGTGCAGGTCCCCTCCTAGACTTACAATATCAAGGCTCCTATGTAGATTCAAGATCTGGGGAGGGAGGAGCTTCCAAGAGGAAATAGGATAGAAAACCCAAGAGTCAAGGTAGTGGAAGAAGCAGCAGGGATCCAGGAGACCCCATCCTAGTCTACACCCTCCTCCTAACATCCCTTTTAGGAATCACCCACTCACCTGTGTCACTGCCCTTACAACTATGAGCCACACGGCCCCACCCCCGCCTCAGGAGAATGAGGGTTCGTTGGACTCACTTTTCTGCCATCTCATAAAAGATCATCCGGTTGAAGTTGCTGGTGCGTTCCCACTCCTGCACGGCCCTTGGCAGTCCCTCCTCCAGGGTCATGGTGGGTTTCAGTCGGGCCAGGGAACGAAGCACGGGGCTAAAACCACCATTGTGTCAGTCACGTTCTGAAAGTGTGCCCCCCACCTGTCCTGACACCCACCTCACTACACATCCCCTGCCCCTCGCCAAATCTAATGTGCCCCTATGTCCCTGTCATGTCCCCTTCTGATTAGACTTCCAGATTCTCAACCTCCCATCTGTTCATTTACCATATTCTCTTAACACTGAAATTTGCAAATCTCACACAAAATGAAACAGATAATTCTCTCCACCTTTTGAAATCAACCTAATTCTCACAGCGCTGTCCTCAACTAAACGTGAGGAAGGAAGCACTTGTGTTATCAAATGAATGGTATTCACTATAAAGTAGGTTTAACCCTGCCCAGAGGCTCTTATACTTAAAAAAAAGGCATTCGCCAACTCAAATGAATCTCTAATTAAATGTTGCGTGGTGTTTTTATTTATTGGTTTTTCAGTGTCTTTGTTTCCAGGATACCCCCATAGTCCAACACCAATACTAGACCCCCACTTCTGGAAGGCCCTTGCGCCCTTTCCGATCCAGAAGAAATAAAGAGCCCGGCCTAAAGTAAGGGTTTCGTTTTTGCCTTTTAGGCCTAAAACATTACCGTGCATTAGAATCACCTGGGGAAGCTTGTTATAAACATGAATTGCAGCGCCCCAGGATCCCAGGACCAAGCATTTTACCAGCCTCCTAGTTGCAGAGGTCTGGACGGCACTTTGCGGGAGAGCCCGCCCAGAGTCCTGAGTGTGAAGCAGGAGCAGGCCAGGACCCAAAGCAAGTGGATCTCATGCAACCCTTGGGAGCCCACACTGGCTCAAGACTTGGAAATCCATCCTGCCAGTCTCCAAGAGAGAACTCAGAGCTGTCTCAAGAAAGCAGGGAAGCAGCAGATGCTATCTATCCATCTAGGACTTTAGGGGTTCCTCTTGATTCATTTGCTCCAGGGTAAGGGTAGAGGGGGAGGTTCCTCTAGGAGTTCTGCCACCAGAGGAGCACCATGTAAAATTTTTTAAAGTCCAGTAAAATGTGATACGTGCTATGTAGTGGCTTACAGGAAATGTTGAGGTACAGCGCAGTTGAGAGAGACAGCGGGTCTGGGTGGGAAGGAGAGAATATTCCCCAGACGACTAACGACTGCTTTATAAACAAAACGAACAACCTATGACCCAGGACTCCTTGGCTAAACACACACTCACTCTTAAGCAAGGACATTTTGGGCTTCTATGAGTCCTTTTCCTCCTTTAGACTGCCTTTTTATAATTACAATAATAAAATAGCTACCATTTAATGAAGCATTCTGTATGCCAGGCACTTTGCCAAGCACTTCATGTCTATCAGCTCATTTAATCTTCTCAGCAACACTCTAAGGTAGGTACCATTATCCCCTTACAGGGATGTTAAATGTCCTGCCCAGGATCACAAATCTCGTGAGTGGTGGAGCCTAGGCCCTTCCTAGACCACTACATAAGCTCTACCATTACCCTATTTCAACTTGACTTCTGAATAAAATGGGGGGCGGGGGCAGCGGAGGGTGGGGGCACACACTAAGTCACACACTGGTCCTGGCCAGCACCATCCTCCCCCCGACAGCAATGGGTCAGGGCCCAGCACTCCTCCTCCTGGCTGGTGTGGATGGCTCAACTCCATGTGGGAAGGCAGAGCAGGACGACCCTAGCACTTGGAGTCAGACCTAACTTCAGTCACTGGTCCTTGCTTTATGACAGGAAGCCTCTCTGAGCTTCTGTCTTCTCATCTGTAAATGACAATTACCATAAAAAGCCTTGTCTCGGTTCACAAGGTTGTAAGGATCACTTAAGAGATGACACCTGAAAGGTTGTTATAAGCTGGGAAGTGGGTAAAGAGCCTGATTGATTATGATTATTATTATGTTTTTCGTTCTCATAGCATCCCATCGCCCTCATGACCTGCCCTCAAGTATTCCTAAATAGCCTAAACTCCCACGTCCATCCCAAAGTCCTCCTTATTTAAAAGGCCTAGAAGAATTAATCTCAGGTCTCCCCACTTACATAAGAAAACAGGAAAGAGCTTCTGCATCAGGACTTTGGGAAAAATGCCTCCGGGCCAAGGCTTTGTAACGCTGCCAGCGACGGAAGTTTTCATAAACACCCTTGGAAGTATAGGAGAGGTCACCCAGTGAGGGCTTGGATTGGGTGGCCGCAGCACTGCCTTCCCCGGTGGTCCCAGGTGGCCCTGGCCAAGACTGTTCCGGTGGCACAATGGGGGTCAGTTGGGCAACTGGTGGTGGAGCCTGAGGAGGAAGGCCTGGGGGGCCCTCCTGGCTCATGCCAGCAGCCGTAGTGGGCAGAATGGTCTTCACATTGGGGCCTACCATGAATTGAGGTGGAGGACCCTCAAGGCCCCCAGGGCCCCCGCAGGGAGTGCCCGAGGCAATCCAATTGAGGGTGGTCTCAGTAAGGATAAAGTTCTGAGTTTGAGAGGGCTCAGCTGGCCCCCCTTCTGTGTTGACTTTGACAATGACCTTGCCAGCTCCAGCCCCACTGGGGCAAGGGCCCCCATCCCCTGTCACCAACAGTGGGCTGGGGAAAGCGGAGAGCACCAGAGGGTTGCCTGGAGAAAATGCTGAAGGCATGGGGGGCTGTGGAGGTGGCTCCCAGGGTGGTTGGTCTGGTGGGCCAGGTATAGGTAGGGGAAAGGGAACTGCAGTGAAAGTAGACAGGGTGGCACCAGGTTTCATGGTCATATCCGGTCCCGGCAGTGAAGATGCTGTTGAGACAAAGGAAAAAAAAGAATGGAGTAGGAGAAAAGGAGACCAGAGTTAGTCTGAATTCCCCTGTAGACCTCAGAGCAAAGATTCTCAACAGGGGAAAGAGGGAATATGGACAGAGAACCTCTGCAGCTGGCAAATGTCCCCAAATAATTTTGATGTCCCTTACTCCCAGTTGAGAATTACTATACTAGAGAAGTTGCTCCCTTTTCTTTTTCTTTTCTTTTTTTATTTTATTTTTATTTTTATTTTTATTTTTTGTAGAGATGGGGCCTTGCTATGTTGCCCAGGCTGTCTTGAACTCCTGGCCTCAAGCGATCCTCCTGCCTCAGCCTCCCAAAGTGCTAGGACTACAGACATGAGCCACCGCACCAGGCCATTGCTCCTTTTTCGAGAAGACACACAGACCCCTGTCTGCCAAGAAGAGACAAGCCCAAGGCATCACTTCCTCTAAGAGCTTCTGTAAGAAAATTCCTGGCAGACCTCTCCTGCTAGCCCAATCGGCTGTTCACTAAGACATGAAATAGGATTGACACTTGCTCTGCTTGGAAAACAGTCCACAGCAGGCTCAATGCAGTAAGAGAACCAGTCCAGAATAAGTTCTGGCCCCTCTCCAGGTACCCACACAGGGCCCTTGGGAAGGAGGCAGTTTTATAAAGATTCCCGGCCCATTCCTTCTGTGTCTCCTCTATCTTTCCTAATCTAAAACAGCAGCAGAACAAAGACACAATCTACAGGCAGGAGCAATGACTCTAGGACCCATGAATTTCATATGCCATAACACAGCAACCAGCATACATGTACATCTCCTACCCTCGCCTATTCCAAACAAGAGACTCAAACCACTAGAACTCTGCTTGCTCCCAGTTGCTCTGTGGCCCCTGCCACCACTCACAGAAGTGCTGCTCCCAGGAGAGGGCATGTGAATTGGATGTTTGGTTTCCAGAAATTTTGTTATATAACAGCCAGGACTAACTAGAGAGGATTAGATAAGGACCAGGACATGGGTGAGGGGAGGATTTCATGGAGAGGGAGGTTTCCAGAGTTTTAAGTAACTGCTAGACATGTTAAAATTTGGTGATGCAGACTATTTGTGCTCCTTCTGCTTGGAGTTCCTTACCCCAAAAATTTAGGGCCCACTAGGAACAAGGCATTGAGCTGGATGCTAAGGAAAGGACAATGAAGTCTGGAACACAGTTCCTGCTGAGAAGGAGCTATGCAGACTCTACTCAAGGAGACCAAAGATAAGTACACAAACATGTACTTAATTGATCAGGACCATGGCCCATGGCCGGGCGAGGCAGCTGACATCTATAATCCCAGCACTTTGGGAGGCCGAGGCAAGAGGACTATTTGAGGCCAGGAGTTTGACACCAGCCTGAGCAACATAGCAAGACTCCATCTCTACAAAAAATGTTTTAAAAAGCCAGGAGTGGTGATGTATGCCTGTGGTCCCACCTACTCAGGAGTTCGATGGGGGAGGACTGCTTGAGCCCAGGAGTTCAAGTCTGCAGTAAGTTATGGTGGTACCACCACCTGCCAGCCTAGGCTACAGAGCAAGACCCTGTCTCAAAAAAAAAAAAAAAAAAAAAAAATCAGGGCTGGGTGCGGTGGCTCACACCTGTAATCCTAGCTCTCTGGGAGGCCGAGGTGGGCAGATTGTTTGAGCTCAGGAGTTCGAAACCAGCCTGAGCAAGAGCAAGACCCCGTCTCTACTAAAACTAGAAAGAAATTAATCGGACAATTATAAATATATAGAAAAAATTAGCCGGGCATGGTGGTGCATGCCTGTAGTCCCAGCTACTCGGGAGGCTGAGGCAGGAGGATCGCTTGAGCCCAGGAGTTTGAGGTTGCTGTGAGCTAAGCTGACGCCACCACACTCCAGCCCAGGCAACACAGCAAGACCCTGTCTCAAAAAAAAAAAAAAAAAAAAAAAAATCAGGACCTGTGTCTCCTAGGACTTTTAATAATAATAATAATAGAATATAATTTGCCTAATTTCATGCTACTCTCCTCCCCCTTACAAAAAATATTCCACTGTCAAACTAACAACACTCAGCTTCTGCTTTCTAACCATGGAATATGAGCAAACTCAGATTCAAATTCATCTCAACCATAGAGCAGAGGGCCAGGAGTATGCCACGGAGTACTGAACACAATGAAAGGGGTCTGAAGCCTGAGTTCCATAAAAAAGAAGAAAAACTAAGAGCATCTCTGGGAAGCCCCAGCTCTCAACCCAGCTGGAATGACCCACCTCCCCTGGCCCTGGTGAATCAAGAAAAACTGCTTCCTGGACTAAAAGGGAAGTCACCTCTGGGGCTGGAAGGACCCCTGAGACTCCTAGCAGAGGCCGTTAGAGTAACTTCCAGCCCAGTTTTCAGGAAGACCTTTATTTCTCTACAACAGATAACCCTACTGAACAGCTTTCTCGATAAGGCTACCCCAGCCCCCTGCCCTACCCTCACCCCCCACCCTCTACCCTCTCCTTCTCCTCATAAGATTGACAGTGGCCCCAGCTCCATTCTCAGGGCAAAATATTAGAGCAGGCTCCAGTTGCTTAAAGAAGACAGCAGAACTTGGGCCTTGTCCTTGATCCCTCTCTGTGTCACTCCTAGGACGTCCAATCCCCCCTCCCAGCACACACACATGTTGAAGTGGCCCCTGTTCCAGAGAATCAAGTTGTTACCTGACATCCATTCTTTATACTCAGCATGTTTCCTTGGAGGTGCCTTGATTCATCTCCAAGGAGGCCCTCTTCCTTTCCCAACCCCCAGTCTGAATGGTTTTATGATCACCTTCCCCAGCCTTCCCAAATGTGATGCCTTTGGTGGGGTCTAGCATCTCCCAACCCTTTAGGTCAGCCCAAAGAGCTTGTCCCCAAGTGAAGTGTCAAATTTAAATCCCCAAGGATGTAAGCAAGTGGCAGGGACTCTCTCTACCACCTGCAGACTTACCTCCATCTGAAGCCATCCTCTCAGGTTTAGGCACTAACTGTGGCTGGCTGGAAGCCTTTAGAATGAGGCAGTCAAGTCCAGGACCCAAAGAGTAACCTGGCTCCAGGAGATACACTGGGATCCAAGGAAGGGAGGGTAAAGATTAGATCAAAACAGAACTAGAATCTAGGACTTAAGGCATTCTGCTCTGGGGGAGGGGAGAGGGAATGTTGGGTGGGGGTGGGGAGATACTCCACAAAGGGTTTTAGTAAGTAGGCAATAACCAGGAATTCCCTCTAAACTAGAGCTTGGCAACACAATCGATGCCTCTTTAGGACAATTTGTAAATTCTTTCTCAGATCCCAACATTACAGTTTTACCCTTTGGTTCTCTATATTTTGATTCTTCACCAACATATCTCATTCTATGCCCTTCCACCCAGTTCTATAACTGACTTCCCGCTAATAGCAAGTTGGTGATAGACCCCCAACTTAATTCAATGATGGCTATATTTTCTGAGCCAAATTCAGAGCACACTGTTTGTATACTTAAGGATCAGGGGAACCAAAGTTTGAAATTAGAATTGTCAGATGATCCGTCTGTATGCGTATCACTTCCTTGGAAAGCTGTCCTGCAGTCCCCAAACAGTCCACTACCATAAGCTCTGCAGTCCACAGATGCCACAGCCTGACCCTTTGCTGAAAAGCCCCACTAAATCAAAAAACTGCTATGTAGCTTAAAATTTTAAGACCAGAAAATCCTTCTTTTTGTTAAATTATTTGTTTTTTTTTAATTTTTAAAATAAATAATGCATTTGCTTGGTTCAAAAGTCAAACTGCAAATAGACTATATAGCAACGAGTCTACCTCCCACCTCTTTCCCCTGTAATAACCAAGTTCTCTTTCCCAGAAAAAACCAATATCATCTGTTCCTTGTGAATCCTTGCAGAGATATTTTATGCAACTACAAGCAGATACAAACCATATTCTTAAAAAAAAACTTCCAGGTTTTTCTGGTTACAAAATTAATATATGTTCCAAAGTTTTTGTCATTATAAATCGTGGTGTAATGATTATCTTTGTAATGATATGTTGGTTCCAATTTTCATTTCTTTAAACTAGAGTCCTATACGGAGAATTTCTATGGTCTTCTAAAAATTCGAAATACTCCTAGAAGGTGCGCCGTATTATGTTATTATTAGCTACTCACCACTATACGAAAAAGCGCCGAATTTGCCGTAGAGACCTGAGTTTGAATCGTGGTTCCATCACTAAGCATACTTCGCCAGTTTCATAAAATAACTTTACGCACTGTACGCTTTACAGAATATTGAATACCCATCATGCACTCTTTACCGCCAATACTTTGAAACGGAGCAGGGGAACTGGATGTAAAAGAGGGGAGGGAAGAAAACCATCTTCTTTCTTCCCTAGGGTAAAAGGGTTCTGAATCCTGGAGCCCTCGCTTCTTTAGGCACTACAAACCCACTGCCCCTGAAATGGGTGTGCACCTTGAGATAAACACAGGATTCCATACATCAGTGTTCAACCCACACCCATCTCTACCCCCCTCTAGCACAGTGGGCACAATGCCTAGCACACAGTGGGCACGCTCCACGTGTTCTAGAATGCGTGCAAGGTTGCAACTGGGCGCCCCAAGCCAACTGCTGCTCTGGTGCTCCCCCTTCTGGCTAGCTGAAAGTAAGGCAAAAATGGACTACATTTCCCGGCATGCCTTGAGACAGACTTCTGATTACAGGCAAAGGAAATTGATAAACACGTGAGGCGGTCAGGCAGACGGAGCTGCAGAGTTGGAACCTCTGGCCGAAAAAGTGTGGTCATGTTTCTCCAGTATTACCTCAATGAGCAGGGAGAGCGGGTCTATACGCTGAAGGTGAGGAGAGGAAACAGGTTGTAAAGGGGCATGGCGACAAATATAGATGGGAGGAGTGGTTGAGACCATCCACCGGGTTACCTATCTGGGTGCGGGGAACCAGAAAGTCCAAAACCGTGGTAGGGTAGAACCGGGAGTGCATGACTCGATCTGACCATTGTGTCTCCTGTCTTTATGTTTGCCCTTTTTCGCGCTGCCGCCTCTTCATCTCACCACTCCTGTACTGAGATGATGGTCTCTCTTTCTCGAGCAGAAATTTGACCCTATGGGACAACAGACTTGCTCAGCCCACCCGGCTCGGTTCTCCCCAGACGACAAATACTCGCGACACCGAATCACCATCAAGAAACGCTTCAAGGTGCTCATGACCCAGCAACCGCGCCCTGTCCTCTGAGGGTCCCTTAAATTTCATGTTTCTTCTGCTGCCCCTCGGAGACTCCGTAACCAAACTCTTCAATCTGTGAGCCATGAAGTCATTTTACCAGCCGTGCTCTTTGGAATCCAGTCTCATCATGGCCTTTGATCATGCTTGTGTGAGGCAGTCATGGTAGCATCCCCCAGAAAGGGAACAAGTTTGACTCCTTTTTTTTTTTCACATTTTAAATTACTGCCAGGTTATTAAAGATAAAATGATTTGAAAGAGCTCTTATTTTGTGTGTTGTTGAAGGAAAGTACTGGTAATTTTTTTTAAAAAGCAAGGAGATGGGGGGGGGAGTACCCCAGGGAATTGGAACAAGACCACTTGAAAGAAAAACTTAAGTCCTTGGTGTAGCTGGAGTAGTGATGTGCTGTTAGTGATAGGAGGGTGTTGGGGAAGGGGGGAGGAAGGTTAAGAAAGACTTTTACAACTATCAGTGGTCACTGAAACATACTCCTATTGTTACTTAAGTAGTATCTTGCCCCTTGAATTAACATTTGATTCATAATGAAAGAATTGTCTGAAAAAGTAGTGGCTAGCAGCCATGTTGTAGAGGGAAGGCAATGAATTGGAAGTCAGGAGACCAGTTTTCTTTCCTCTTTGTATAACTTTGAGAAAGTTACTTATCCTGTTTAGTCCCTTTTTTCTCCTAATTTCTAAGTTCTTTTCCAACTCTAAAACTGATAAGTTTAGTGGTGGATCTTAATATATCTACAGTGTTTGTCCAACCTTTCTGAATAGGAATGCCTTTATACATATTTATTGCCCCTCTAGAAATATTCCTAGACTTTTAGTTCTCTCCATCAAGGAATTGCCTTCTTACATACTCCTGAGTTTATATTCTCTTTGGCAGCTAGCCATGAGGAACTCTACACAGATACACAGATCTTAATTTAGAAGATGAAATATAAGAGAATCAAGCAGGAGTTTCTGTTGTTTTTCCAAGCTACTGTGGGGGCCTTAATTTTTTCAAACTAGAAATTTCTTAGAACTTGAGCTTCTACCATGGCACAGCCATAAATGATTTTTAATACAATTACTTTGTATTAGAGGGATGGTGAAGTAAAAATTGTGTACAAGCATTCAAGAAGTGCTAACTTCATCCTTTCCTTGTCGAGTTAATCAACTCATTATTTCCTAATTTCCTCTTTCATGGCTTCTGACTTTGGATTTGAATATGTTTGCCCAGGGCTGCTGATTTTAAAATTGCTTTATAGAGACTATATTCTAATTCTGCAATCTTTATTTTTTATTGTATCAAAATTCTAGACTCTAGAAGCAGATGTAACTTAAATCAGTACAAATGTGATTTATGAAGACTGTTCTTGGAAAGTAGTATGTTTTTCTTGTATCCTGCTGTTTGACCATTCCAGTAGAAAAGTTCATTATAGTGGTTGACTGCTGAGAAAAAAAAAATCCCTCAACTTGGGTCATAGTTAACAGAAGACAGATGGTTTTTCAAATAAATTATTTAAACTTACAGGATTGGTGAAATGAGGTATGCTTCCTATCTAGCAATTTTATTTCTTAGCTTGGTTCACTTACAGGGTTGTTAGCATTGGATCTGAAGGATATTAAAGAATTGTCTTACCCAAATAAAGGGATAATGATTGGAGAAGTGTTTCTTAAGCATCAAAGTAAATGAATTCTGCTGCCAGTATTTTTTTTTTAACCTTGACTATAATTCTGTCTTTATCTTACAAAAAAGAAAAGAAAAGGATTAGCATTGTTCCATGCTACCAGCTGCATAGATTGAAAATACTCTTAATGAATGTAGAGGAGAAAAGGCAAACTGGCATAAGTATACCAAGGAATTTTCCTTAAGAGTTCTCCTGGGTATTAAGGTCTGTGACATAATGTTTATAGAGCTTGACTAGTGCTTGGAGACACAAGACTTAAGAGGTATAGTGTATTGGAATTATGTAGTATATATAAGCAAATGCAAATATACCATGGTAGGAAACAAAAATTGGGTATCATACGAATCCAGCATTTCTTTATAAAAGAAAGTCTGTGAGGTTCGAATGAACAGCAGGCTGATCTGAGGAAAAAATTGATCCCTCAGGGCGAAGGATTTCTTGCTTCCTAAAGTAAGAAAGCTGTGGACCTCAATCAAGAATCACAGGCTTCATAAAGAAGCCTGAGGAAGTTAACTTTTTTTTTTTTTGTCCTAGACTCTGAAAAGGTTAATATTTTAAATGGGAATTTCTCATTTTGTTACCAGGATCTTATTATTTGTGTCTGGACTTTGTCATTTGATAAAAGAGGATTTCCTGGCTAAGGTCTTAAATGCAGTTCTGATTGCTAAGGATGCTGCTTAAACATTTGCACTTGTGAGGAGCAAATACCCAGGCAAAGCCAGGGGCTAGTTTCTGGGGCCCATATTGTAAACACCTGTTTATGCATTAAATAAACACAAATATTCTAGGGACAGTAAATGTAGTAGGGAAACACTGGGAATAGAGTCCAGAAAATATTTCACTGTCTTCTCCAGGTATAAAATTAAAGCTGTTTTCTCTAATGGAACTTTCATTCTGACTAGAAAGTGGATATAGCATCTTTTAAAAGGACAGGAACAGGAGAAAAAGAAACGTACCAGAAAGTATGTATAATTTGCGGATACGATACTTTAGAATAGACCTCTACATAAAAATTACAGTGCGGGTCATATCTAGGTATGTGGTGTTGGGACGTCTGTGATTTTTAAAGAAATTATGAATGATGTTTTCAGAGACCCTTATTAGAGACATAGTTGTTATGGTTATGAGGGTACAGGGCATGGCCCACTTCCTAAGAGGCCTCCAGAGTGAGCTTGCAACACAGCCGGGCCAACAGGGAGAAGGATTTTTCACCGCTTCACGTGGGTCAGGCCCGGCGCCGGACTACAGTTCCCGTCGTGCCCCTGGCCCCTCAATTCGGCTCCGCCCGTCGCCCGCTGAGGCTCCCGGCGAGCGCAGGCGCACTGCGCTCTGTCACCGCGGGCCGCAGAGGTTGGGCGGGGCTTTGGGGCGCCCGCCGGACGGTGCCGCCCTCCCACTGCTCCCTCAGGCTTCTCTTCCGAAGGTTAACCTCGAATGAGGAACGAGCGGGGAGGGAAAGGAGGGGCTGCGGCGGTGCGGGCACAGCCCGCCGGGCCCGGGGCTGGGGGCGGCGAGGTCACGTAACGGCTGCTCTGGCGTCTGGCCGGGCAGGGGGCGCCCGCCCCAGCAGCCCGAGCCCTCCAGCGCGCGCGGCGGCTCGGAAACAGTTACCGGCTAGTAAACAACAGCTGCGCGCGCACCGCATCAGCTGGCGCCGGGATCCCGCACCTGCGACCACCTCCTCCCCTCATCCCCGCTGCTCCTCCTGCCCAGCCAGGGCCAGCCTGCGTGGCCGTCTCCTCTTCTGCGGAGATCCGAAGGAAGAACGGCGAGGGGCTGATCTGCGCCAGGGCCGGGGTAGGGGAGAAAGCGTCTCCCGGCAAAGGGGTGGCCCGTCCTGTCACACGCAGGAGAAACCTAGCGAGCCGACCAGGGGCTCAGTGGACTAGCAACGACCTGCCACGACCCTGACCTGCAATTTGAGGTGTCTTGATCTGCTAGCCTCCTTCTCCCAGATCCCAGGGACCTTTCTGCCAGGAGAAGAGCGGAAGGCCACCCCCGCAGACCTCTCGGAGGCAGGAATCCGCTCTGCCTCTGCATCCTTCTCTGCTCACCCTTCTCTCCTCATTCCTCTCGGTCTAGTAGTGTGGGTTATTTTTCCCGTTATGCATGCACACCTTTCCCACCAGACCCAAGTGGATTATCGACCTCAAAAACATCGGGTGGCTCTACACACACCTCCTCCCAGCCAGACCTGTGAGGTATTCACCTGATACACAACAGGTGGCCGGGTTTACACCTTTTCGCAATCTGATCCACGCTATATTCACCTGATAAGGGTGGGCTGCACGCACTTTGCTCGACTAGAACCGTGGGACGCTCACCAGATAAAAGACTGACTACCTCAGCAGGAACCTGGAGGTTGAGGGAGGGAGGCTTTACCAGCTGTTCTGATACCATGGCACTGAGCCCTTAACCCTGGACCGGGGGAGATAGCTAGGTAGCTCTCCGTTCTGAAGGAAAGAAGTTACACATGATTGGCATCGTTTTGTTTTGTTCCCCCTACCCCTTTAAAAATATTTGTCAGCTATTGCTGGTGCACTTTTTAGGATAGCCGGCTTGAATTCTGAGTAGAAGAATTCTTATTTGGGGCTTTTTGTGTGGTGTGAATCAAGGTAATTGAGGTGTTTTTTTTTTAAGTTATCTTTTATTTTTACAATCAAAAGTAGCTAGCGTAGGAGGAAGATTTTGCGAGGTTTCCTATTTTTTTCTTTGTCCTTAAAAAGAAAAATGCATCCTCCAGAAACCACCACCAAGATGGCTTCAGTTCGATTCATGGTGACACCAACAAAGATCGATGACATTCCAGGTTTGTCAGACACCAGCCCGGACCTCAGCTCTCGATCCAGTTCTCGAGTAAGATTTAGCTCTCGGGAAAGTGTGCCTGAAACAAGCCGTAGTGAGCCCATGAGTGAAATGTCTGGGGCCACCACTTCACTGGCAACTGTTGCCCTGGATCCACCCAGTGACCGGACTTCTAACCCCCAGGATGTTACCGAGGGTAAGTAGACAGACAACAGGAAACTTTCATTACTGGCTTACTTATCCAGGATGACCATCTACTGGGAGATAGTTTTCCCATTTTACAATAATCATTAGGAACCAAGGCACCTCTGCTTAGGAACCCTTTGGAATAATGGTTAGCATAGCTGGTCATTGCAGTAGTCATTTGGTATGTGGGAAAGTGTATGTTGACTTCCTCATTTTTGCCTTCCTAGAATTGCTGCTTTTTTTTTTTAATTTCAGAATATTACGGTGGTGCAAACGTTTTGGTTACGTGAATTACTTTTGTACAGTTTGAGTCAAAGTTATAAGTGTAACCATAATGTTTGTACCCTCATAATACCCTGAAATTAAAAAAAAAAAAAAAACAAAAACAAAGTTACAAGTGTGTCCATCACTCAGATAGTGTGCATTGTACCTGTTAGGTGTGAATTTATCCATCCCCTCCTCCCTTCTCCCACCTGCTTGATTTCCATTGAATTTTACTACCATATGTACACATGAGTGTTGATCATTGAATTCCAATTTAATAGTGAGCCTTTTTAGAATCGAAATGAGTCTTTTGGTTAAGGGTGAATA